AGAACTAGAGAGATAGAAATTAGTTTAGGAATCAAGACTGAAGTCAGAAAAGGAAAGAATATGTAATTTTGTATTAATAAATATTAATAAATATTTAACTCGATCACCTAATATAACTTTTCGTAGAAATTTTGCATTTTAACATGGTCTTAGTTCTTAAGGAAGGTGCAAGTGATAATTGCAAATATTTTCAAGCAATCCTTACTTTATTTCCTATTTACTAGTCTGTTATCCATGCTTTAAAAAAATAAAAAAGTTGTCTTGAGTTTCCAAGTTATAAATAAGCTAAGAATGAGTAGTAGTGTAAATAATGTTTTTGTACTATAAATAAATATAAATAAACTTTCCATGGCAAGCACTGGAAAAGTACTGGAAAATGGTGGGAATTCCTCTCTATTTAACCTGCCCCAACCCTGGCAGTGTTCACAGCCAGGTTGGATAAAGTCTTGAGCAACCTGCTCTGGTGAGAGGTGTCCCTGCCCAGGGCAGGGGTTGGGACTAGATGATATGTAATGTCCATTTCGGCCCCTAAAATTCTATGATTCTAGTGTTGGGCATATTTTAATAATGAACCTATTTTTTATTTCTGCCAGTCAGAAGAACAGCTCTGTTAGTCAGTGTTAAATTTACCAGCCTTGTATTTTTATATATGGGCCTGGTGTGAAGCTCCATGAGAATGACAAAGATCTACAAAGTCCCATTCCATCTAGAAACAATAAAGTCATGTTGTTTAACCCAGGCACAGAAAGCAAAGAGGGTGACAAATCATAAATACCTGTATTGAAGGCATCTGAGGATGCATCACTTCACAAAAGTTTAAGTTGCATGAAATGAGAAATGTCTTTCTGGAAGGAAAGAAGGTTTGTGTCATGACCCACCTGTAGGGCTGTGATGTTTGTTATCAATTCTCATCAGGCTGAACAAAGACACAGGACCATTTGTCAGGGAACTTTAAGCTTTATTGTACAGGCACCATAACTCCAGGATCCAACCCAATATTTAGCCCCAAAAGGTGTTAGCAAACAAGCTCTGAAGTAGATACAAGGACCTGCACAGCAGTGGAGGATAACAAACTCTTAATTTGTACAATACAGTACAAACCAGTAACTTCTCAATTCCCACAGTGAACCTCTTAAAGGCACAACACACAACCAAAAGTGCTGGCTAACAACCCAAAACACAAAACCAAAGGCTCAGGCTAACAACCTGCAACACCCAACCAAAGGCTCAGGCTAACAAGCCACAACACAACCAAAGGTGCAGAGTAACTAGCCACAAGACACAACCAAAGCTGCTGCTCACAAGCCACAACACACAGCCAAAGGTGCAGGGCAACAAACCACAACACAATCAAAGGTTCTGGTGAACAAACCACAACACACAGCCAAAGGCTCAGGCTAACTAGCCACAACACACAACCAAAGCTGCTGCTCACACACCACAACACACAGCCAAAGGTGCAGGGCAACAAACCACAACACACAGCCAAAGGTGCAGGGTAACAAACCACAACACACAGCCAAAGGTGCAGGGTAACAAACCACAACACACAGCCAAAGGTTCTGGCGAGCAAACCACAAAACAGTATTCAAAGATGCTGTTCACAAGCCACACCATCACTTTTCAGTCTCCCCACTCCCACAACAAACTTCAGTGAAGAGCACAGAGGTAAGGTATGATAGCTGTGCTGTGCAAAAGCAAACACAGGGAGAGAGAGAAATAGAGAGAGAAAAGGGAGAGAGGTAGCACAGAAAATCACCAGCCCTTAGGTCCCACATTGGTCCTGCCACTTGGATGTTCCAGAGTTGGGGCAAAGCATGAGAGTGAAAGGCAAAGAGGGGAAAGAGAGAGAGAGAGGACACCTGATCCTCTCCCTTTTATAGGTAACCTGGTGCAGCCTCTTATGCAAACTAGATTTTTCATGCCATTCCATTCACGTGTGTACAGACCTTTCCAGCCTCCTCCAGGGAGTAAGTCAGGGGGAGAGGCTGAGCAGGAGTCTCCAGATGAAGCAGGAATTTGGCTCAAAACATGCTGCCCCACCTCCACAGGACCCTCTGCTCTGATCACATCCTACCTGTCATCACAGTCGGAATGTCTGAGACAAAATATGCTCATGTCTGGTCCTCCCCAGCTTGTGTTTAGTGAAACTACCTGTCATCACAGTCGGAATGTCTGAGACAAAATATGCTCATGTCTGGTCCTCCACAGCTTGTGTTTCTTTTAGTGAAAGAGTTATTGGCAGCAGTGGAATCTGTTTGTTGGCAGCTGCTGAAGAGAACATCCCATTTTGATTTAAAGATTATTTTCTGCTTCAAACACATTCCTGTAGTGGTTCCCATGGTTAATACTGCACAGGAGTAGCAGACCAAATGATTTACAGTCAGCCCTGCTGGGTTATAAAGCACAGGCCTCTCTGTGGATGTTCTCCTTCCCCCCTGCCCTCCCCTTTGTTACACCAAGGTCCTATGGTTTTGTTTGACTTAGGCTCTGTGTTCAGCATACATTGAATACACAACGTTTTTGTGTAAAAGTTCAAACAAATAATAAGCAACTTGTTGTTATTTATTTATAGCCTTCTGACCATTTGAGTGCTCAGTTGTAACCTTTAAATGCTTTAAATGATTCCAGTAACTGTGGTTCTCTACCTCTTGGCAGATAGTGTTGTCCTCTCTAAGTTTTCTTCTAAGGAGGCTTTCTCCCTCACTTTGATATAGGTGTAACTGGCAAAAACAATTTAAACTTCTTAGTTTTCCAGTATAGAAGGACTGTTCTGTGGTTTCCATGAGCAGATCTCCACTCTGACTTGAGAATTCCTGTAGCCAGCAAAGAAATCTTTCAGTCCTCAGGTGCTTCTGCTGTGTCCTGAGAACTTTTTGCTGCTTGATCCAATTTATAAATCCAAATTACTGTATTCTTTCAGCCCCTAAGAATTTTCAGGAAAGTTTTGGAAGCCTGACAAAATTTGAAAAATCTAAGCATCCTAAAAACTGCCCTGGAAGTCTCTTGGTAAATGCTTGAGTAGTTAGGATACATGTTTCATGGGCTGCTAGGTGGGTTAAAACCTTCCTAGAACCACAGCCAGCTCCTGTTTGGGGTGTTTGGCTGTCCTCTTTTGGTGGGAGTGGAGGGAATGAATGATTCTCCTGCTGCCAAGAGCATTCACAAAGCCTTGGCATGAACTTTTCAGGATCTCTCTTTGCTGGGCTGGAGGCTTGGCAGAAGTTGCTTTGTTGTCCTTCCCCACCCTCCACCAAGGATCTTCTATGTCATGGTTAGCCCAGTGTTGCTGTATGTTTTGAAGGACAAAACTGTCATGTTTCCTTTGACTCTTGCTCCCACTAAGGGTGCACTGCAGGATGCTTTAAGGTGTTTTTTTTAAAATCAAAATCAGGAAATGGATGCAGAAAGAAAAGGTTTGGGCCACTAGAACTAGTGCTCTGAAGTTAGGATGTAGCTGTTACATGGATGACTGTGCAACACACAGTTTGGCCCAGACTTGCCAGATATTTGGGTTTCCTGTTAGCTCCAGGTTAGTGTGCTGTTGTGGCTGTTGAAAAATGTGGGTTGCTTTGGTTACAGTGAATTGGCAGGATGACTCCCACAGTAATCCTTGTGTGGCTCCAGGGATGGGTGGGAGCAGACAGAGCTGTTCAGATCTGTTCTGTGCCAGATCTCTAGTACATCCTGCATGTGTTTTATGATAAGAATTTTTCAGAAGTGTTCCAGAAGGCTGGTTTAAGCCTGCCATGTTTCATCTGAAACTTTTCACCTATGAAGAGAAGGGGGGGGGAGAGAGAGAGAGAGAAAGTCTTCTGTTGTATCTCCAGAGAGCTCAGTCTGAACTCCTGATTACTACATAATAAACTTTTTCATTGTTAGGGTGGTCAGGCACTGGAATAGATTGCTCAGGATGGTGGTGGAGTCATCACTCCTGGAAGTGTTTAAGAGGTGTCTGGATCTGACACTGGAGGATATGATTTTAGGGTTACAGCAGTGACAGGGTAATGGTTGGACTTGATCTTGGAGGTCTCCTCCATCCTTGATGATTCTATGATCTTAGCCCAGTCCTGGGCATGATTTTGTCTGTGGTTCTGCCTTAGGAGTGAGACCAAAAGGATCCCACCTACTCCCCCACACCTCCAATGCTCTTGCCATCTTTTCATGCTGCTGTTGTGTTCAAAAAGTTCCAACCTTTCCTGAAATTTCAAACATTTTTTAAAATTTTATGTCTTGTTTGCACCAAACTTAACCCTGCTCCATCTTCAGTGAAATTTCATGTGAACTAGAAGCTGTATTTGCTGGCCAGAGCTAACAAGCTACAGTTTTCTGTCTCATGATGGAATACTCTGTCCTTTTTCTTTCCCTTTAGTATGGCTATGATGCTGCATATCACAAATGCACTGGTGGATGCTCACCCAGTCAACTGAACCTTTTGTTTATTGACTTTGCACTTCTTGATTTTATGACTTAGGTTAACTTAAGCTCTTCTTGATGTACTTCATGTAAATATTTGGAAATATATATCAATGTCTAGTGCCTTAAACTGTATTTTAAAAGACAATTGTTTGCTACTGAGTAGTCTATTCTGCAGTTGTTTGTAGTGCTTCTTGTTGCAGAAATGTCTGTGTCCCAAAGGAAGAATTTTTTTTTTGTCCTCTATCTCATTCTGGTGTTCAGTCATTGAGACAGTAAACCTGACCTGCAAGGCTGGCACAAAGAAAGTAGTTGCAGTTTGGCTGCAACCTGGAAATTTCTGCCATTTCTGCATTTGTTTTCGATTTAGCATTCCTGAGAGTGGATTAAAATAAGAGATAGAAATGTTGAAAGCTTGAATGAACTGGAATTATGATTTTTTGGAGTTAGGACTCCTAACTTGCATGCTTCTCTGTTATTTTACCCCAGAGCTTGCTTGCTTACTTTTTTTCTTGATGTTGCTGATGCTAAAGTGACTTGTTAGTCTGGCTATGGAAACCTAACCCATGCTTTTTTCTCTTTAGGCACTCAGTGTTACTGAAACTCTGATCAAACCTTTGGAAAGATTTAGGAAAGAGCAGCTAGGAGCTGTAAAGGTTTGTCCCTTGTTGCCTTTATAAGTTTGTTTCATTTCTCTACTTGGATTGCAATGCAGTAATGATAAGTCATTAGCAGAAACTGTTGTTTGTGTTTCATGTATTCACACTTTGTTTCTTTCCTAACTTGAGAACTTGCTTCAGAAACAAATGGAATGTTTCAAGAAGAGAATAATGTGTTCTCTCCCTTCCTTCTCCTCCTCCCCTCCCTTATCTCTTCTGCCTGGAATAGGAGCAGTCCTGCTAACAGCCTTCCCCCTCCTTAATGGGTAACCCTGTTCTGCTTTGTATTTGCTTGCAGTTGCACAATCAAAGGCTGAAAAATATTAACTGCCTAAAGGAGCTTGGTCATCCATATGCTTTTAACTGCATTTTTGCCACCTGCAAAGTGAAAATTGCCTTTATTTTACTATTTTGGTTTTGAATAAATTGTCTCTATATGAGTAGAATAATAGGGATGGAGAGGCTGAAGATGATCTCATTCCAAGTATTTCTTTGGTGAAAGTATTTGGTCATTTTTTTAAAAGATTGTTACTAAGTTGTGTGTATTTAAAAAAAGCTAAAGTAAACTCCATGAATTAAATGCAGATTAGCTTTGGATAAGAGTAACAAGGACAAATTTAACCTCTTTGTACCTGTCTACTTCCTTCTTGCAGTGAGAGATTTAAAAGCTTAGTAAAAAATAACAAGGCCAGGAAAGGAGAAAAAAGCCCCGAACCAGCTATTTATTACAGTTTTCTGTTGCAAAATTCAGTTGATACATTTCCCAACCACCTGCCTGTGTTTTATTTTATAATTTCATGACTTCATCTCCAGTGATATTTAAGAGCTAAGACAACATACTTCCTTCTTGCAGTGAGAGATTTAAAAGCTTAGTAAAAAATAACAAGGCCAGGAAAGGAGAAAAAAGCCCCGAACCAGCTATTTATTACAGTTTTCTGTTGCAAAATTCAGTTGATACATTTCCCAACCACCTGCCTGTGTTTTATTTTATAATTTCATGACTTCATCTCCAGTGATATTTAAGAGCTAAGACAACATTGAAGAGAACT